GCAAGTGGTGAGGAAGAGCTTCTGCCTCCTCCTGGTGCAGAGCAGGCTGTCTTCCAGGAGGCTGGTCTCACAGCTACACTACTTACGCATAAGACCGGGATCTATCTTTAGCTCATGTCTGAAGAACAATGCTGTTACTTCTCTCTCCCCCTCCAAATGTTCCTATTACAAGCAACAAAGGAAAGTTATTCTTGCTGAAATAACTAAAATATAAAATAAAATCATGGTAATATTTGGCATTTTTAATTTAGGTTTGTTTTATTTAAGTTTAATGTTAATTCCATGCTGTGTTTCAGTAAGAACAATACAGATTCTGTATCTGTGGCTCCAGTCAGATATCCAGTAGTACAAATTAGCTTCAAGTTACACATACTGAACAAAAGAGGTTGAGCGAGCGAAGGGAGATGGGGAAAGGGGAGGGAGAAAGAAAAATATTGAACACGCATGCAGGCTTATCAATGCCACCTTCAATGCTAACCTGCTTTGAGGAAAAGTAAAGAATAGGCAAGAATGAGCAGCCACGGATTGTTGAACTGTTACCAGCACCATGATTTTCAGCAACATTTCAGCAGTTTGGAAACTTTTGTTTTTATACAGTAAAACCACTACAATATATGTCCCAATGCAACCTGTAACTTCAAGCTAAACACCCAATTAAGTTTTAACATTGGTATAAAATTCAGTTTAAACAGTTATAAAAAAAGAAAAATGCCACCACATGCGCACTACCTTGCCATAACAAATCTCTCCCCTACAAGTCTAACGGCCTTCAGGCGTAACATCCACTTCTAATGGCAATCTCGCCACATCTGGCAGGAGACAATACAGTCATGCTGAAAGAGCCTTTACGCAGTCCTGTTAGTGTCTTAACCTAAAAGCTGGCACCAGTAAAATCCACAGAAATTCACTCTTGCCTTTAAGAACTTTTAAACTGTGTAAAAAAAAAATAAAAATAAAGAAACCCAACAGGGCAGGAACCTAAATTCTGAGACCCAATGTAAAAGTCAGATTTGGTGGTTCTCAGAGTGACACTGAGGGTTTTTGTGGGGAAGGGGAAGGGTGGTCAGAGATGGGTTCTCTTGTTGGCCTTTGTGTCTCACTGGTTTTCATCTTCCACATCCTGCAGCGCTTCTTTATTCTGTTCTTCACCTATGAAAGTGTTAAAAGGAATGAAGATGTTAATTTTTTAAAAATGAGACCTGCAGAACAGCTTAACAAGCATCTAGAGATTAATAATTCCATGCAAGTACACACGCTCACTCACACACTTGCATAAATGACACGCACGCACTCGTAGCCAGTTCTGGAGTGAAGCGTTTCCACGGAAGTTAAGCCTTGTCATCACCTCATGATGTTTCACACAGAACTGTAGCGCAGGCTATTAGAAGACACACTCTGTCATAAGGACAAACGACAAACCACCCTTTCTGAAAACTGAGACTGCGCACGTGATCAGTCCTGGTGATCCAGAGATGAACAGCCAAGACAAAAGTCATCAGAATGGCTGCAGATAAACATCCTTAAATCAGAAAATACCTTTCCAAAAATATCATTTCTACTCCAGAGCACGGTAAGGCCATCTACTCACGAACTACAGAATGAGATCAGAACAGTTTTTAGAAATTAAGACTTTTTTTTGCCCAAGTCCAGTCAAGTCTCAACAGCAAAGTACCAGAGTCAATTTTTTAAGATAACACTGATGGCAGGTATTACTAGAAGTACCAAAGGAAGTATGAAAAACCATCCCTACTTCAAGTCCAACATGACAACAAACCCTAAGATTGAGCCTATTAAAGGAAAACATTTTGTGGAAATTAATTTCTCTTGAAAAACAGCAAGTTTGGACATATTCAACCAGCTGCGACATGCGGTGAAGTGGAAGTTTATCTGGTAAGGCTCCTGTACTAAGTGTTTGGTTATACTTCAGCCGCCCTGGGCGAGATGCATGCAATGCCTTCTGAACGTCTTCGTCCGATTTCTACTGCAACAGCAGTAAGTTCGAGGTAGTTCAGCTAGTGCCATAACACATGCATGATTAAGGTAATTGATAAGAGAAACTGAAAAATGTTTTCTTTACAATTATCCTTAACCATGTGAGATGGTACTCTTAAGGGCAAGAAACAAAAACTACCCATGAAAAAGATTAATTTGCAATAAAATCCAATCAAATGAGACTAATGACTTTCAGCATATAACCAGAATGCCTGCTCAGAGCATGTCCAGATACAGAATTATCACCAGGTACAATGAAAGGTGGATTTTGAAAGAGGTGGCCTAGGAACAACAGACATCTGACATTCAACAGCAATAAAATTTACATTTAAAATTACATAATAGATCATTTAGGAGAGGAAAGCAGAGACCCTAGCCCAGGAAGATGATTAAAAGAAGATCTGAGCATGCTCTAGCCAACGCACTTAAGCAAATACTCCTGTAACAGGCGATTGTGAAAGTACTTTTCATGCCCAAATATTCTTAATATCCATCCAGGTATGCAGCTCAGTTCCCAAACACGTAAGTTACTTTGGATCTTAGTCAAGTATATTGGACCTGGGTAGGGATAACAGGTCACAAATTGGTAGAACATTGCGTAGCCCTGGAATGGAGTCAAAGATACAAGCAGTTTATCAGCAGCAAGAGAGTGACAGAGGCAAGCACGATTAGTGATCAGAAGAAAACTGGCGCTGAAAAGTTCATTAAGCCATGACGAAGACTTACAAAGTAGAGTTTTTAGGAAATGAACAGTTGAGCTTTCCTTTAGGAATCTATACAGCAGGAAAGAAGGGGAAAACAGGAATCATATGAAGACGACATTACAAGCGTGAAAATAAACTCAACAGCTCCTCTATGACATGGTTAAAAGATACAGTAAGCGAGATGAAAAAGTGTAGCAGCTGAGTAACGCCTGATTTTAGAAAATCATTCCCGACAACCTACACAAATGAAACCAAAAGAGGCAGAAGCTTAACACAAAAGAACAAGTCTTTATCAAGTCTCCCCCACCCCTCAGGAAACTGGTAATTGTGATTATCTTTCTCAGTGCCACTATTAACTTTTACCAGTCTTCAAAGGCTCTACCCATTTTGGAAGCAACAGTTTTAAATGCACTTAGCATATAAGCATGGTATGAGGAAGTGATAAAAACCTTAACTTTTCACCTATGTCTAAATATTACGCATAAAATTGTGGTGCAGTTCTTCAGGTCCACAAAAAATACACTGTTTAAGTAGTCCTGCAGCATTTTAAATTTTGCAATCATTATCTTTCTGGCATGCATCGGAAACGGTAATAGGATAGTCTGAAATACTTCAGGAAGAACAAAAATATCTATTTTCTATGAAAACATGAAACAAGAAGTTTGAATCTAGATTATACAAAAAGAAATACAAAGAGCCTCTGTAAATAATCTTGTTGAACTTCTACAATACACAAGATACACATTAGTCAGCTCACATGCAAATAAAGATTGCTTTTGGAAGATGTTCTAATGCTACTGTCTCCCAACAGCAATCCAGCCTGGTTACTTCACCAAAATGGCTTCCTCAGTGTTCCCACAGAGCACCAGGATATTTGGATCCATTAAAAATA